TCCCACTTACAGGTTTTATGTCAATAGGAACGACTTCCTGTAAGTTCTGACTAAATCCTGTAAACCGGACTGCTATTGGAACAGACTAATAAACAATGCTTTGGTTGATACAAGTTTTCAATTAATTTAGTGAACTTGCTGTAGACTTGAATAAGCTCACCGTTTATTATTGGAAAAAAGTTTCAGTTTGATACAAATAAAAATCTACTCGATGGTTGCTGTGTTTACTTTCTTCTTTTATTTGCATATATTAAGCATAAAAAATACAAACATATTTACATAAATAGTTACTAGTGTAAATAATACATATGTATATGGTGGTAAGAATTTCCTAAAAAGAAACGATGAAACAGGAACAGTCGTGCGAAAACCCAGGTCAATATCTGCTGGAAGTGCTGGTTTAAGTATACTGCCTTGCTTTTTCCTTGGCTAAACAAATACTTTCAAGTTGTAATTCACATGCATTATATATTCACTGAGAAACCCCGGTTGGCATCAAATTTTATATTTTTAAATAACTATGCGCATACCGAAACAACTCGCGGCGATGGCAAAACTGAAACTGAGACAAACAAGTCTGGGCATGTCATAGCCCACACTTTTCTTCCTCTACCTAGCGCAGTGATCGACATGCCATAGCTTACTGAGCGCTCTGTGACCACACGCGTGTTTCACCCATATACGAACAGCGGTGCAATGATTTCCACGCACACAGTCTCATTCATTGAATCGTTTTTATGCAATGGTCGGCATACTAGCGCATTAAAACGATTCAATAAGTGGGACTGTGTGCATCACGTTGCCAAGTTTACGTTTTTAACGTTATTTGGACGTTTTTTGTATCCTGTTGATGTTATGACGTTTTCTGTGCAAAAAATGACGTTTTTTAACTTCCCAGTAATTTGTATCTGTTACTAAATCTTGTAAGTAGAACTGATTTTGAGTTATCTTCTTAATAAATCTTTACAAGCGTTGTATTTTGCAACAGCTGCATCACAATATATTTATGTTTTGGACACAGATAAATATGATGCAAACCAGGCGTACGCGCATTTTTTTGGATTCTTGGACTAAGAATCCCATGTTCAAAGGCTGGCTGTGTAAACACTTGAGGTTACGAGGCTTATTGTAATGTTTGCAATTGCATATTAAATGCCAAATCACGAAGAGCCAATCTATTGCAACACGCACGCTCGCAAAAGCATCAAAAATGCTGTTGCAGCATAAAAAGTCTGAAAAAAGTAGGCGACTTTCTTAAGACTTCATTGAAAATTTAATGAACGCAAAAAA